TTTTGAATGCTCTGAACTGTTGAACAAGTTGAACCTCCGACCGTGTGTCGTAGGTTTCCGTATGATGGAGCTGTTTGGGCTGGTGGAGAATCGCTACAGCAGCGTCTCTGGGTTTCAATGGACCTGGCACCTTCAATACCTTCCCAGTTTCCACCTGCACAGCGATGCTTTTCTGGCACAGCCAACCAGGTATTGTTACTGTGATGTTTAACAAGTGTCCTCTCATAAATAGTACCTTGTCTATTAAATGCTTTATTGCCACCTGCTGCATGGATCTCACACAATAGACATTAAAGTGTGTTTGTTCAACGTAAGATAGAATTACTTACTCTGATAGCTCCAGCTGAGTATTGACTGTATTCAGACCCCATAATCTACACTGTTCGCTTCATAATCAATATTTACCTGGTTTCTGTTCTGACTACAGGTACATCCATCCCGAAGGGCTGCCCTCTGACTACACCATCACCCTGCTGTTCAGACTGCTGCCAGACACTCCAGAGGAGCCCTTCGCCCTCTGGGAGATCCTCAACAAGAACAACGAGCCGCTGGTGGGAGTCATCCTCGACAGTGAGTCAGGGATCTTGCTGTGGGAGCATCCAGTTGTCAAAAAGAAAAAACATTTGTTTCTCGTCATTTTGTACGTTGTTTTTCTATAATTACAAATCCATCACAATCAAACTGAATGTATAAAACACCAAGATGGTTATGGTTGTCATGAAGGAGGTAAAAGCTGTCATTACTCATCCCCGTCATGAAATCAAAACCTGTCAAAGAAAGACATAATATAAATAAAAGTAAAGTAAAGTAAATAGACAAGTGCTTTATTTTCTTCTTTTTGTAACATGCAGTTTTTGTTGTGTCTTCATGCAGACGGCGGAAAGACTCTGACGTTCTTCAACAACGACTACAAAGGAGAGTTCCAGACGGTCACCTTCGAAGGGCCAGAAATCAAAAAACTCTTCTACGGCAGTTCCAAGGTCAGAATCACTCCAGTCCAGGTTTCTTTTTTCTTTGCCTGACTGATTGACTGACTGATTCCTAACACACTGACTGATTGATCATCTGTCAGAGTGAGTGACAGACTTAATACTTCAGCTTTAAAGTGTTTACCAGGATGTCTTGGGGCATAAATGATGGAAAGTCAACCGTTTTGACGGTCCGTCGCAGAAACTGTGATGAGGTGTGAGATTCTTCACTGATAATAAAATAAAAAAAACACTTCCTGCTGAGGATGCAGAGGGTGATGCAGAGTCATGCTGTGCCACAGTGATGTTCACACGAATGTGACAGGAGCAGCAAAGTCACTTGACGACTGTTGGGCTGAGTTACAAACTGCTTATTTTACTGAGTGACTAATAGACATGATGTGTTTGTTGTGGCTGGTTAACTAACTTGTTGTTTTAATGACTGATCTAGCTGCTGACTGACTGGGTTTTGGCAACAGATACCTTAAAGCTTCAAATCATAGCCTACTCCCAATTAGACGTCTCTTTTACTGGCCTGGTGCGGGTACACGTTTTGACACATAAACACGGGTCTTGATTTGACGCCTAATCAGGTTTTTTAGAAGTTCTCTGGATGTATAAAACCTCTTAAACCCCACTGGGTCGCCTGCAAGAGCTAGTTCTAATCTATTTAGCCCAAATATACAAATATAAATGTTAAACCTTTGTCAATATTAGGGGTGGGGGGAAAAAATCGTTACAGCGTATTATCGCATATTTTGCAATGCAATATCGTATCATAACACGAACGTCAAGTATCGATCTTTTACTATATAATTGTACATGAGAAGTTTGTTTTTTGGCTTTAATAAAATTGTTTTTTCAATCAACTAGAAAAAGAATTTCCTTTGGACACAATTTGAAGTTGGGAAAAAGATAAAACGCAATAATATCGTATCGTGACATAGGTATCGTGATAATATCGTATCGTGGGGCCTCTTGATTCCCAACACATCGTTCGCGATCGGTTAGAATGTCCACAATTTATATATATTATAATAATTTGATGGAAACAATTCAGATTTGCCATTATTGTAAACAAGAGAGATGAAAAAGCCTATTTTTATACAAGTAATATTCATACTGGTTGAAGTAAACATTTCATAGCAGCCTATTTCCCATCTTTGCTGAGCAGAGTTTTGTATGAAAGGAATTAAAGGATAATGTATTTGTCCCAAATACAGGCAGAGTGAGTTCAGTGATTGAAGTAAATAAAAGCCAGAGTTATGTAATTGACATTAGACTGCCTCGTTTTTCTGTTTCTTTTGATCCAGTGGTTCATCAGTATGTTAATTAATTTGCTCAGTTGTCCCTTCTTTACCTTGGGTTCCTACTGCCTTCCCTCCTCCTACTTCCTTCCTTGCACTCGTTCTTCTGTCATCTAAAACCTCGCTGAGCAGCGAGACGGTAGGCGGAGTCCTGACAGGCCGGCTGTAGTTGAGTCGTGGCCTGAGCCTGAACCAGCTCACAGTCATGTTGTGTTAGTGTCAGTGTCGGCGCTGAGGGACTCGCTGACTGATCGGCAGACACTTCTGTCTGCTCGCTGTGACAGCAGAGCTTATCCTGCTTATCCTTTCACCTTTTGTTCCGCTGTGTGAGTGTGTTTGTGTGTGTGTGCTCATGCAACTGCATACATAGTGGATTTTATAATCCTAGAGGACGGGCACCTGCATTGCCTGCCTGAAGTCTATCTGACTTTTTATAGGTGATTATGGATGAGAGGATATCACTAATTTGAAAGTCATCTCTTAGAAATGTCCAACTGTGGTGATAGACATAACTACTAACTTTTAAAGACTGAATGGTCCCCCTGTGTGTTACCAAAGTTCAGCTTTCGTAACACTTTTCACACTTTAGATAAAACTCTGAATGTTTCCGTCTGTCTCATTCTTAGTTCCTGAAAAGCTGACGTCTTAGAAAAATGAAGAAATGTCCTTCAGCAAGGTTTTAGACTGATAGGGCTGCGCTGCTTCACACTTCACACTCTTAACAGGATTATATTACAGTTCTCCAGTGCTAATGCAGGTCGGCGGGCCTCTGCAATGCCTGTAAATGTGTACAAGAGTATGTACATACACACTCCCACACGACTGGGTATGGAACAGATACAGTAGGATACAGTAGACTTTGTGATTACACCTTTACAGCAGGCAGTCCTGATACAGAATAAGCCACCGTGACTTAATTTTACTATGTGTTATATGTTTGGCTTAGAACTCAGCTGCAGCCCATCTGCATGAATATACCTGAGGGAGGTGTTTATAAAGTAGAAATATGAAGTAAATTATTTGCAAATTTTGACAACCATTGCAGCCAGCTCTGTTGAATACTAATAAGTTGTTATTTTTTGTTTTTAAAACCAGGTTCTGGTGGATGGTTGTTAGTACACAAGCATTTATTTTCACTCTGTATCGTCACTCTCTGTGTTACCACAGTGTATCTTTGCATGCCTTGACATAATGGCTCCCTACCTTTTTAAAACGAGTGAATTCACTCTGAGATGTTCAGTGCACCAGCACACAGTTTGTTTCCCGCTGAGAAAGTTCATCTCAGTTAACATGAAAAATCACTTTGACATTTACAAGTAATTTCACAGCAGCAGTGAACTTAAACTCAACAGACAGACCAACACAGAGTCGACCCCCACAGCAAACAATGACTGAGCAAAAACCCTGTCCTGAATACAGCTGCTACTTCTCTTAATATCCCTACTATATACATTAGAGGCTGAGGACTCCTGTGGGTCAAGGGATTCCGTGGGATTGTAGTCAATTACAGTAATCATCACGGGACTCGGAGAGGACCGGGAGAAAAAAGTCAACGGGAGCAGGTGGGACGGGAATCACAGGCCTGACTCATTATAGTAATTAATTTATATATATATATATACAATAAATAATGTTTTAAAATAAAGTTTGTGTTATCCCTATATTATTTGGCCTCTGAATAAACTTTCTAAATAAATAGACGGTGAAGAGGATGTTACGTCAGAGCTGTGAGGTTAAAAATGAACATCCTCTAGCCAAACAGAGTCTACTACTAATGCCATTACTATTGCTGCTACTACTACTAGTATAGTAGTAGTAGGAATAATTATAGTTATAGTAATAACCTTGTGTAGCACTTCTCACTTTTGCATTGCAAAGTATGTCGTCCCCACAGAATCATAACAAAATTAAAACTCATATAACACATTACTACTTTGTACTGAGAAAACAAAATGCAGTTTTGCATGTAACCATAAGTGCAAAAAGCAGCAGTGTGCAGAGACATGTAAATATTAATATAGGTAATGTATAAATAATAATGAGGAATAGATTATGGTTTCCTTTTTGTTAATCCTGCAATTGATGCTACCTCTACTGCAACACTGTCTTCATAAATATAAAAAGTTATTTCTTTCTCTGTGGCTGTGAAATAAGGAATGTCTCCAGTAGCATTTACAGTAAGGTGTAAATAAAAAGTGTGAAACCGTTCAGTCCGTTAAAACTCCTGTGATCCGTTTCATTAACCTCTGTATAAAGATGCTAACGACATTACTGACATGGAAATGAGTCTCTCTGTTGCAGGGTGTTGAGTATTATTAGTCTGCACCCTGCTATTTGTAAAACTGTGTACTTCTGTGACTATAATCATCTGTTGATGCTGAACAGTAAAACTAATTTCTTGTCCCCGCTAAGAATAAATGCTTTATTTATTTCCTCTGATCTAAACACAACAACTTACAAGAGCTCTAACAAAAAGAAAAAAATTATAAAATGTTGGAAACTTTTCACTTCTTGTGTCGAGAGAAGTGCAAAGTTAAGTCATGCTTATGTGTCACAACTCCACTTAGTAATACTTAGAGTCAAAATTACAGGGCAGACTTTTTTCAGTTTATGGCCTGTTTTCCTTAGAGCTGTGTATGTGTTTTGCGTTTTGAATATCCTCTTTTCCAGGACAAACATGGAGCTTTTTAATAAGTTAATTTGCAGTGCTGTGAATTTTAATTGTAGCCTATAGAAACTGGAGATTTAAATAAGGGAGAGAAACGCACACAGGCATCCCTCAGCAACAGCTAAGCATTTTTATTTTTTCCTTTTCTGTAAATACAGCAGCCGGAAACACACAAGAGAAAACTTTTACCAACTCTTCTTTTTACCCGTCGAACAAAGGTGTGCTTATAGAGGAAGGTTAATAGGGTTCAGATGTGTGTGAGTCTGTACAGAAAACAATCACACAGGGTCACTGACAGCAGCTCTGTTAAAAGTTACAGGAGAAGAGGGTTAATGGTGTTGAGGAAGCCTCTCAGCACAGACGGGCGACGTTTCATCTGCCTCACAGTTCAGCACTTTGCTGTCCATGACGGTGACAGAACTTCCTGTATGTGCATTTATAAATAGCCATGTCGCTCAGGGAGGTAATTTTAGTTTCGTTTCCACACGCTCTCCTGGTCTTTGTCCCAGTTCCAGGTTGCAGAGCTATAATTGTGCACTGACATTCATTTTAAAACACGAGCTCGCACTTCTTTGAAATTTAATATTGGAAGTAAAATCAGGTTTGTTTGTTTATCCTGAATCCGCCTTAGCAAAGCCATTTTGTATTTCATTTGTGTTTTTATTCATTTAAGATGAAAACGTCTGCAGTTTTAAGTAGTTTGTGTCTGTCTGTGTGCTTTCACACTGCGCGCACACACGCGTACACACACATTTTGTTTGGCGGGCTTTAACTATTTTCCAGTGAAAACAAAATTAACTTTTTAATGTTTTCATTTCCTCATCATCTCTTTGGCAGTCTGCCTAGAAAAGTTATGTTTAAAGCTGGAATCAAATATACAGAATAAATGTGGGGCATGTTAACACCCACTTAAAACCTTATGTAAAAAAACTAAACAAACAAGAGGGTACAGTTTACAGAGAGAGTGCAGTGAGTCTTCTGTGATGTTTAGTCTTTGTCTAATGTAAAGTTGTGATTGTCAGATATTCT